TTGTCAGTATTGTTCATCGTTTTCGGCTCCTGCTTTTCGAAATACTATTGGTATGCTTCGTCTTGGTATGATTCGTATGCTGTATTTTTCTTCTATTCCTCCTCCTCCAGATCCTCCTCCTCCGCCCTCCTCCTCCTCCTATTGATGGCGTCTCTGGTGCAGCATGTGCAGATGAGACGACGCAACCAGATCTCAACCCTGGCCCTCGCGCTAAATTTTGATCTCGCTTAGTGCTGAGCCGGCGTTCCTGGCCTGCTCCGCACTCGCCCCCCCCCCTCCGTGTCAGGGTTGCGCCTGTCCCGCTCGGGAGCAGACTGCACCACGCGCAGGGGCGGAATCGAGAGGTGAAGGATCAAGAGCATGCGCACGAGCAGAAGCAGGAGCTGGAGACTGCAGCAGGAGCGGGAGCGGGAGCATGGGGAGAAGTAAGTTTGGCATGGGAGAGACGGGTCCCGAGGGAAACGGGCCCCAGGCCCCTGGGCCTTCCCCCAGCCCCACTTGTCCATCCTGAGCCCGTTTCTCCCTGTTCCGGGGCCCGTGGAGGGCCCCGAGGGCCCGAACACGGTGAAGAACCTCGTGACCCGTGTCCCCCGAGGACCCGCTTCCCCCACGGCGAGTGGCGCTCTTTCGCCGCAAGTATCAGTGCGTTAGCCTCAGGTTGGGCACGCGCGTCGCAGCCGCGCTCGGCAGGCCGACTGGACTGGCGGCCCCCGGGTGGGACACCGGCACGAGCGGCACCTGCCGGAGCGAGGCCGGCGAGCGCTGGTGTGACATTGGCGAGCAGCCGCCCGGGGTGGCCGGCAGCCCCGCGGGCACCTTTTCGGGCAGAAGGCGCGCAGACACCGCCACGTGGCCCGCCCACGGCGGTCCTGGGCCCTGGCATGGTGCAGGCCAGAGGGGTCTGTGAACGACCCTGGGGCTGCACGGTTCCTCCCGGGCCGTAGGCGACCCGAGGAGGAGGAGGAGGAGGAGGAGGAGGAGGAGGTGGAGGAGGAGATGGAAGAGGAGGAGGAGGAGGAAGAGGGAGGAGGAGGAGGAGGGGGAGGAGGAGAAGGAAGTGGGAGGAGGAGGAGGAGGAGGAAGAGGGAGGAGGAGGAGGAGGAGGAGGAACAGGACGGGTCGCCTAAGCCCTTCGGAGAAACCCTCCGCCTGGGGCCCAGCAGGGCCCTGGCCAGGCGTGGTGGTGTGCAGAGGCCTTCTGCGGAGCAGAAGGAAGGCGCGGCCAGGTTGAACGGCCTTCCGAGAGGAGGCGGGGGGTTTCTTGGCAGGGCATGGCACCCCATGACTAGGTCGGGCACGTCCCCCGACAAGCAGACTTTGGACGAAAAATCAAACGTACCAGAACAATACTCCCAAATAGCCAAAAAAGTGCTCAGCAAATCGCCCCCTGGCTCTTCTTTGACTATTTTTGAAGGACTGGCCCGACTTAGCCCTAGGAGAAAGCTTCCGAGGGAGGCGCATGCCTTCTCGGCAGGCGGCCCCTCTCCCCGCTTTCCGGACCACAAGTCGGGACACAGGCGGCCGTTCGGGGCGATCCTGGCATCTCCAGCACGCTCTCGACGGGGAGGAGAACGGCGGGAAGCACCCCAGGCCCCGAAAACCACCGAACCCTCGATGGTTCCTGACCCCTGCTGGGGCTACGCCGCAGGTGAGGGAACCAAAAGATCCAATACCGCTACTCACCGGACCTCTCCTGGGGTGCGCTCTGGCCAGAATCTCGAAGAGAATCCAGCCGCGACGACGAGGGCTCTCCAGGAAGAGCAGCGATATCGGTACTTGCCCCTAGTGGTGGCAGTGGCAGCGCAACCCCTCGCCGCGCCCCCTTGGCGCCGGTGATTCAAAGATGGGGCCTTGAAGGATGGGGTCCTAAGGACGAGGTGCCTCGAACGACGTAAATCCACCCTGGTATCCCTTCCAATCCTTAGTGATCGGTCCACTCAGGTCATGGTAGTGATAGAATCGGGGATTTAGAGACACGACGCCGGATTAAGCAAATCCGGGTTTGAATGTAGTAACCGGGTTTTTGCGTTTACTAAATGATGTTTTGCCGTGTTTTGATGAGGAGGCGCAATTTGACTAATCCGCTTCTCGTTTTAGTAAAACATCGTTTCTTCGATGAGCCGTTTCAAGAATGCATTAACATGACCTATGTTCACCGGTGACTTAAGCCCACATCCCCCCGGACCCCATATTTGAGCCACTGGCGGTGCGTGCCGCCAGGCGCCGGAGCCGGCAGCAGCCGCACCGGCCCGCTCGTCGGCGAGGCCCGCGCGGCGGCGAGGTGCCTGAAGCCCGAGCCTGCCGCGGGGGGGCCCAGGCACGCCCGAGGGAAGGGCGCCGCGGGCGCCGCCGCAGCCGCCGCCGACGTCGCGGTCGCCTTCGCGGCCGTCCTGGTCGCCGTCGCCGCCGCCAGCGCCGCTCTCGCCGCCGCCAGCGCCGCCATCGCTGTCACCCTCGCCGCCGCCGCCGCCGCCATCACCGCCGTCACCGCCGTTACCGTCGCAGCCAGCGTCGCCGTGGCCGCCACCGTCGCCGTTGCGGTCGTCGTCGGTGGCAGCGGCGCCGTTGGACGGCGACGGCGTCCCGACGGACGAGGCCACCAGCGACGGCGAACGCGCCGCGGGCCATGGGGCAGAGCGCGCCTTGGGGCCAACCAAAAAATAAAGGGAGAACCGCCTGAACGCCTCCTTCAGAAGAGACGGAGGGATGGAGGTAAGGGGGGAGGGAGGAGAGACAGGGAGAGGGAAGGGGATGGGGGGGGTGACAGGGAGAACGACAGGGAACGAGAGAGAGAGAGAGACGGAAAGACAGGAAGACACATACAGAGGCAGATGTAGAAACAGAGACCTATACGGATACATGTACACGTACACACCATAGAAATATATATATATATATATATATATATATATATGCACACATAAGGGAAAGGGAGATGAAGAAAAAAAGAAAGAGAGAGAAACACGAAGAGGGAGCCGCAGTTCGGACAGCAGGTCTGCCCAGGCCCCAGGGACACAAGCGCCCCGCATGATACTCACGTCACACAGCGGGGGGTGCCGCGTCCGAAGCAAGGGGTGGTGGCATCACCCCCCCAGCGCGGCCTAGAGGGGGGCCACGCTGGAAAGCAAAACAGGTATGCGGTGACCAGGCCGGTCAAAGGCCCATCCGCGCACCCATGACGGAAGCGCCGCCTTAGCGCCGCCTTTACACGAGCACGGGCATGCGCGACGCGGAGGGTGGGAAAGGTGAACGGCACCGCCTTGGGGCATCCCCCGCAGCGGTCCAACAGAACAGGCGACGGAGCAGGTGCCAACTGCTCGCGCGGCCCGATGATGGGGAGGGGTGCTAACACTGGCGTGCTGCGAGACGAGCCTCGATGAAGGTTTGAAGGTTGCCGTGGAAGGACGCCCCACGGGCCACTGAGGGGGGGAAGGTTTGCTGCAGGCCGTTCCAGGCCTGTTGCGGTCGTTGGAACCTGTCGAACAACGGAGATGACTGTTCCTTCCTTGGTGGAAGGAAAACGCCAGCTGGTTGGCTCGTTGATGGAGCGCGTGGATACTGGCAGTTGGAATGGTTTCGCGCCACCCTGGGTGCTGACTGTCCGCCAAACTGAAACGATGCTCGGGGGCTTGACTACGGTCCATACGGCGGGCGCAACCACTGGCGAGATTGCCGTAATCCGCAACCTCGCGCCCGCCCCCGTCGGAACACTGGCGATCCGAACCGGGAGGCGGGTTGAGGATGGGGTTTAACGTGCCCACCAGGCTTTGCCGCCCCAGGGCGGTCGAGGTGTGACCGAGAGAGAGAGAGGGAAAAAGAAATAAATAAATAAAAAAAGAAAGAGGAGAGAGAGAGAGAGGGAAAAGAGAGAGAGAGAGAGACAGAGAGAGAGAGAGAAAGACAACGAGACAGACAGGGACACAGACACAGACACAGACACAAACAGAAACGGAGCCAGAAACAGAGAAATAGAGAGAGAGAGAGAATGGCTGCGCGCGTCGGGGTGGCCCTCGCCTGCGCTGCCTCCACCTCGCCTGGACAGTGACTCTGTGGAGGGAGATTGCTAGCTCCGTCGCAATCCAGCGAGGCCCCAAGCCTGAGAAGGTCAAGGCCATCCCCTTCGTAATCGCCCGGCGGTGGCGACCCGGGGGAATCGAGTTCGTCGAAGTGGCGCGGGCCTGGTGGACCGCCCAGCGGTAGCGGCCCTCCTTGAGCGCTTGCGCCCTCGACCCCCTGCCCAGTGGAGAACGGGTTCGGCGTCGCGTTCGAAAGCTCGAACATGGAATGCCCGGCTCTCGTGCGAGGCAAAGGAGGCGTCCGATGGTGCCGATCGTACATGGCGATGGCCGCGCCATGGAGGACCGCGGCAAACTTGCGTCGCACTTTCGCAGCGTCGACCTGGCCGCCGTGGAGCCGCGCCCCCGCGGCGGCGAGCTCGTCAGCGCCATGGTTGAAAGCGCCAGCAACAGGAGCGACGCGCCCTCCGCTGACGCCTTGCCATCCCACGCGGCTCCCCACCTTCTGGATTGTCAACAGACCATATCTGGCCAGCAGAATCTGGTGGATTCCTTGCTAGCGGCCCGCTCGGGGACCCTCACGCGGCCCCCGAGATGGCCATCACATCTGCCAGAAGACCACCTGGTTGTCTATGAACGCCTGCACCGGTCGTGAAGCCGCGGTGGCAAAGTGAAGCGTGGCACGCGCTTCGGCACGCTGCGCAGACTGCGCCAGACCGTGCACGCGGGCAGACTGGCTCAGCTGGTCTCTGGTCTCATGAGCGGCCCTCTCGGTCTCCCAGCAGGGGAATCTCCGCGCAGCATGGTCTTGCATGTCCTCTTCCTGGTCGCCCCATCTGCGCGGGGGGGATGGGTCGGCCGAAGGGCCAGCCTTGACTTTCCGTCGCTGGACGCGGTCACCCCCGCAGAGGCTGTTGCACAGGATTTCAACTTGCCAGGTAGTGGATTTGGCATACCCTCTGATTCTGAGGAGCCGCGCGTTGGCGACCTAGCGCGGTCCCTGCCAGACAGCGGCGACGGCGCCGAGGTCGCGCATTGCGCCTGGGACGCGGCGGAGAAAACGCGAGCGAAAACCCCAGCTGGCAGCTACATCCATGAAAAACGGGTGCCCCAGTCGTCCCGCATAGTGGCAAGCTCGGGAATTGTCCGCTCGAGTTAGGCAAGCGTTTGCCACGGTCAGCCGACGGGCCCGCCCCCTTGGACAGATTGCGCATGACTATGTAGCTCATCGGTTTTGGTGGTACACATGGTTCCTCGTCGCGCCTGCCTCCCAAGCAGTGCTCCTCCTTGCGCGACGGCGCCGAGTTCGATCGCGTGGCCCAGGGCAGCGAGGGAGTAGAGCGCCCATCGCGAAATCCAGAGTCGCAATTTGGGTCGGACGCCAACCAGCGCGGCGCTGTCGCACAGGCGTCGCGCCCAATAGCCGGGCGCGTGGACGTCCGCGCCAAAGGGGGACATGCTGGCCACAACAGGCCGTGCCGCGCAGGCTCTCGATAGTCTTCAGGGCGGCGCCCACTGCGCGGAAGCAATTCGGTTGCATTCTCGACCCTGGCACCCGCGGAGCTCGCGCGAGGGCCTTCGACCGCCAGACTCACCGCAGGCCTTTGGGGGCCCTCGCGGAGCCTCCCATGGGCCCCCCCGCAAGCCCTCAGGCCCCCGCCCCCAGCCCTGCCCGCCGCCCCCGTCTCTGCCCCTCCCCCCCTCCTCCTTTCTGCTCCTACGCCCCCCTCGTTAATCTTTCCTCCAATGCCGTCCGCCCACAGCGTCAGCTCCGAGCCTCGCCAGATTGTAATGCAACTGGGAGGTACTGCTCGCCCAAATGCTAAAAACATCGCAGTCTGAGCGCCAATCATCGGAGGTGCCACTCGCCCGCATCATGCTTCAAATAATGACCGTGGTCATCGCTCCTTCCCATCGTGCTGGCCCATTGTTCCGTTTCTCCCCTTCTGCCCCTCCAAAACAAAATAAACATTGCGAGAAGTGAGAGAGAGAGAGAGAGAGAGAACACAAAAGAGAGAGAGAGAGAGAGAACAAACAAAAAAAAAGAACGCAGTGCGACAAAAATGACAAGACCGCCCGACACGCACGAGCACATTGAGTCCACATGCGAAATCTACCACAAAGGCCTTCGGTGGAGCTCCCCATGAAACCACCAACCGCGTGAAAGCTGCGATGAGTTGGTACGGGCGGCGGCGAGCAGCCTGCGCCGCAAAATTATTATGTGGAACTCCCTATGGGCCCACGGACCGTGCGAGGCAGCGCTGAATTGGCCTGGGGCGGCGGCACGCGGCCTGCGCCCCAGATTTGGCTACTGAACTCGAGAGCAATGTTCCTGGAACGGTCTGGACGGCGCAATGCGGCACGTGCTGCAAACGCCTTCGGCGGGACTACGTGCGGGGCCACGAACTGCGAGGGGCGCGCGCTCAACGGTCCGGGCGGCGGCGCGCGGTTTGTGCCTGAAGACCTTTCAGTGGAGTTTCCGAATGCTGCCACGGATCGCGTGAGGACAGCTGAAATGGCCTGGGCGGCGGCGCGCGGCCTGCGTCGCAAGCGTCTTCGGCGAAACCCTTTTAATGGTGCCGCGGAACACATGACAAACCATCTGACATGGCCTCAAATAGTATGGGCGGCGGCGCGTGGCCTGTGCTCTGCGGGATTTCGGTTGAGCTCCTCATAGGGGCCACGACCCTCGCGAACATTGATCTGGAATGGTCGGGGGGGCGGCGTGCGACCACATCGCGCCGGCAGGGCTGCGCATTGGGTGGGTGGATGGGTGGGTGGGTGGGTGGGTGGGTGGGTGGGTGGGTGGGGTGGGTGTGGGTGTGGGTGTGTGTGTGTGTGGGTGTGTGGTGGGTGGGTGGGTGTGGGTGTGGTGTGGTGTGTGGTGTGTGTGGGTGTGTGGTGGGTGGTGGTGTGTGGGGTGTGTGGGTGTGTGTTGTGTGGGTGTGTGGGTGGTGGGGTGTGTGTGTGTGTGTGTGTGTGGGGGGTGTGGGTGTGGGTGGTGGTGTGGTGTGGGTGTGTGTGTGTTGGAATGTGGTGTGGGTGTGGTGGGGTGCTGTGGGCGTGTGTTGTGTTGCGTGTGTGAGTGTGTGCGTGTGTGCGTGTGTTGGCGTGTGTGCGTGTGTGCGTGTGTGCGTGTGTGCGTGTTGCGTGTGCGTGTGTGCGTGTGGTGTGTGCGTGTGTGCGTGTGTGCGTGTGCGCGTGCGTGTGCGCGTGTGCGCGTGCGTGTGCGCGTGTGCGCGTGTGTGCGTGTGCGCGTGTGCGCGTGTGCGCGTGTGCGCGTGTGCGCGTGTGCGCGTGTGCGCGTGTGCGCGTGTGCGCGTGTGCGCGTGTGCGCGTGTGCGCGTGTGCGCGTGTGCGCGTGTGCGCGTGTGCGGCGTGTGCGCGTGTGCGCGTGTGCGCGTGTGCGCGTGTGCGCGTGTGCGCGTGTGCGCGTGTGCGCGTGGCGCGTGTGCGCGTGTTCGCGTGTACGCATGTACGCGTG